GAGAGAGAGAGAGGCTGGACCTTAGGCAATAGTAGTGTCTTATGCTCTAGTTCATAACCTTGTATGTTCTCTCTTTTTTATTAGGGTGGCAATGGGCCCTGACCTGAAATTTATGGCTGATATCCTGGCAGGGCAGGCAGACCTATTCCAGGGTTTATGATATGGCCCAGCTTTATTTTTTGAAAATGTCATTAATGTCTCCAACCCAAACTATTAATGAATCCAAGCCTAGCCACCTAGCCAAGAGGTGAGCCGGGGATGGGCCTAGGCCCATTTGGTCCAGGCCGGGTCTTTATGGTCCCTGCTAGGCTCAGCCCAGCCCAAACCGGCCCCTGACCACCGCTATTTGTGAATTAGCCTTCTAATTCAAGGTTCTTTACTCCCATTTCCCTTACTTCTTAATTATTACCTTTACATCTAGGATTTTTGTGACTTTTGAAGATCAGGATGTAGATACTGGATGAACTTTAAGTGAGATTTCAATGAACATGGATTTGAATGGGAGGATGCGGGATGAGAGGTAGGATTTTCTAGGATAGAGATTGGGAAATTAACAATTATGAGATGGTTTTGGATGATTGTGTGCCATTATTTTGGCGACTACATGGATGAGAAAGTGATCAACTCATGCTAACTAAATCCTTTATCTACCCACCCCTCTTGAATCTTTCAGCATACACAACCCGTCTCTTAGATTCCTTAAGCAGCATAAGCTATACACAATCTGTCTGCTCAAAAGCCATACAAAGCCGTTTAGGATTTCAACTAATACACAAGCTCTTTATCGTTTTTTAGAATTATTCTCTAATTCCACAATCATAGTCTTAGACTATCCCTGACTTCCAGCAGTATACTCACCATGCATCTCAAAATCCTTAGGTCGAGATAAGACCAAAGTCACCAAACTTTAGGTGCTTTTAGAGCCTATATTAGGCCCATTTGAGGCCCATACAAACCCCAAATTTTAGGTCCAGCTTAAGACAATCTAAACCTGCTTCTAACCCAATTCAGCTCTATTTAGGCTCCACAATAGATCCATTTAGATTCTAGTTTGGATTCACTTTATGCATAAACCTTATTTGCATACAAGGTTGCTACATATATATATATATATATATATAT